CAAATTTTTAGCCTAATTAATTAGCCGTTCAAGTTCTCAACAAGGTTGAAGAAACAAAAGCTAAAATGCTTAGCGATTTCTATACATTCTTTTTTACAACTTCTACTACAAGAAAATAAAAAACGCATCATACAATTGTTGTTCCTTAGGTTAGACCTCTTCAATGAAATCTCCGGAACTCATGGAACCGCTTCGATTCAAGCCTTGTTTCTCTAACCAATACGTTATTAGAGCCTTAACCACTTGCCTGAACCTTCTCCTATAAGTCGGAAGCTTTGATACGCTCCGTATCATTCCCATCATTCTACAAACACACAAGTTTCAGCCAGAATCAGAGAAGCTATTAAGGTTTAATCTTTTCTATGTCCAATAGTTTTTGAATCTTTTACCTTCTGCTAATTCCTTGGATTTGAGCAGCTCGAAGGTTTTCTCGAGGCGTGTAACCGCGATTATCCCAAGCTTCTATCCTTTGTTCATGGTTTCCAAAGAGAACAATTTTCTCTAAGTACCTAACTTCACTTTCTCCAAGTTTAATCACACGAATCTGATCTTTCAATACCATCATTGGATTAAAGATCCAGTCCAAGAACTTGTCTTCCGGTCTATTCAAGTGGGTCACTTCCGAGCCATCAAGCAAAAGCACACCATGTGCACCAGCTTTAATAGAGCTAAGCAATGTATGGAGCAAAGCATAAGAAGGAAGTCCGACATTGATAACCGATGATTCGTTTCCGTGTTTCCCTTTTAAAGACTCGTATAGATCAGCTTGTGTTATCACTCCTGCGTCTAGTAGTTCTTTGCCTTGCATCTCAAACCACCCCATCATATGCTCCCAAATCTGTTAATAAGGAATTGTAAGTGATGGATGTAAAAAGGTAATTTGCGAAATACAGAATCAAGATTCAAACTTTCGACATATACCTGAACCATTCTAACTTCTTGAATTGCTTCTCTAACCGATACAGAGCGAACTAGGCTCGGTACTAGCATAGCTGGAGCTTCTGTAGAACCGGAACTGTTGACTCTGCTTATATCTGAAGGTTGAACAATCACAGATACTTGACTTGAAAAAGATACTTTCCTCATCCGATATCTTGGCCTGTGTGTGGCGGATTACAGTTTCTCGGTGTTAGAGAGGCAAGAGAAAGAGAATGTAAAAGGACTGAACAGAGACATACTTTGGGAAGATAGTTCCTTCTCTAAGGTAAAGCCAATCATTTGTGTACTCATCAAATTCCCCAACTACTGCAATCACATAAGACAATCCTCTTCTAAATGACCTTTCCTGCAAAGCAGAGATTCAAACAGTGAAAAAGAAATCCCGAATTTCGACTCGAATCATTCGGTAATAGGATCAATGGAGACCTGAAACACGACGACTGCTCCATACAACCCGACAAAGATGCTGGAGAAAATAGTCATCAAAACAAATCCAATCACAATAATAGGCCATAACAATATTGTCAAACCAGCAACCGGGATACAAGCTATTTCAAGAAATGGTCCTTGTCGATTAATCGCGTCTTGAGTTAGTCGGTACCAGCCTTTGAAGAGAAGGAAAGGGCTTTTAATAACCGCAATCGCAGTGAAAAGAGGGATATCGATGATTAGTCCTATAATCCCTACAGTTATGCATCCAGGGACATGAATCAACCTGAAAAAGCAG